AACTTTTCTATAAGCGAATTGTTTCATAGTATAGGTAATGAGGCTTTGCTTTGAGACTAATTTTTCCATATTATCCTGTGTTTCTGTACTCGTTTCATTTACTCTCCTGCAGTGTATTTGCTGATATTCTTTCCACTGAATAAATATCAACATCAATTTATTGGTCTACTAAGCATCTGTCCTCTTCATTGCTAGTTCAGGATCAGCCAGTCAGAATAGCTGTCATCTTCTTCAGGTGCTGTCTAACTATTAGAATATTTTAAATAGGGTAGGTGACTTCAACACTCATTCACAAACCTTTATTAATCCCAGAGGGGTAATTTAACTGAGGTTGAAGCGCAGATCTGATGGTAGCAGCTGCTTGTATGTCCTCCTGCTCTGCCATGTCTATTTTAGTGCAGCCATAATAATGCAGCATGATTGACGGAACTGTTCTGGGTCTGTCTAAACGGTTGAAGAAGGAACAAGCTGGATTCTTGAGTGTTAATTAATGCAAAAATTCTACAAGAAATCATTCTTGACACAAGGTTACCCTTACTGTTACTAAATGCTATTATTATAGTTTAAAATTGACTCAAATAGCAGCAGTGTAAGCATGTGAGATATCGCTGATAACTGTGGATCAGATTTATCCAGTGCTAAATTTTACAAATAACTAGAAACCTTGAAAGAAACTCATGACAAGCTAGGCTCATCACATTTTTGGGATGGTATAAAGTTTTATAAATGCAAAACAAAAATTTACTATTACTAAGAAGGTTTATTTTATTTATTTCATTTTTTTTAGCCATCACATAATCTGTTTTTCAATTTGAATGAAATGTGGCTGCACAGTAGAACAGTGGGTAGCACTACTGCCTTGCAGCAAGAAGGTTCCGCGATCGATTCCCGTCCTGGGATCTTTTTGCATGGAGTTTGCACGTTCTCCCTGTGCATGCGTGGGTTCTCTCCGGGTACTCCGGTTTCCTCCCACAGTCCAAAATCATGACTGTTGGGCTTGTTGGCTTCTCCAAATTCTCTTTAGATGTGACTGGTGACCTGCCCAGGGTGTACCCCTCCTCTCACCCATTGACAGATGGAGTTAGGCACCATCACCCCTCATGACCCCAGCTGAGATAAGAGTGATAAAAAATGGATGGTTGTAATTTGCATAAATGTAAATAAAGTTTTAAAAAAAGTGCCACTTAGAGATGTTTGATGTACAGATAGTATATAGAGGTTATGTTGCTTTTTATGCCATGTTTAACAATGATCACAATGAAAAATTATACAGTTTTTATACCAACTGGGACTGCTGGAATACAGGCTGGCTTTCATGGTTTCCAGAAGGTGTTGAGTGCAACACTCATTTTGAGTTTCACTGTTTAGAAAATAAACTGGAGCTATAACTGGGCCAGTGTTTACAGCCACACCCCACTTTTACTAACCTCTCTCTGTCAGACTCTTACACATTTCCCCCTGCAAGTGTGTCGGGGAGACGGTTGGGCTGGTGCTCTGCCTGCTCTGTTTGAACCTTTCACCGCAATCTGTGGCGTGGAGTGCGTGAATGTCATCCATGTTTGATTCTAGCCTGTGTGGCGCAGTCCTCAGCTCGTGGGATTAAACATTTACAAGGCATATCATCAGTCTGTCAAAACCTCTTTCCCTTCAACACATCGATTTTGAAACAGTGACAAAAAAGTCCACTTTAAACACGGCAGCACATGTTTTGAAATCTGAACAGTTTGAATGAAGAAATTGTAAATTCAGATGCTTACAAATTAAATGTGTATTTATTGCTCCACCTTTAATTAAGGAGTTTCTTTATATTAGGGTTCACTTAGAGAAATAAAACCCTCAAGAATGAATTGGGAGCTTTAGACGGTTATGAAATCCTAGCAAGGATTTTACACTGCAGAGCTGCATGATACTCAACGTCCTGCTTGGATGCAATATTTGATTAGTGCGCACTGACTTTCTGGACCTGATTTAAAAAAAACATTGAACAATGCCAGCAGATGATATGACGTCATCACTGAAGGTGAGAGCTTCACATTTGAAGGCAACATTGACTCTGTGCCCTTCCATTTCTACCACACCCTGGAAACTTGATTTCTACCTAAATCGGTTAAGCAGTTGCTTGAGATGTAGAAATTTAATGGCTCTAGTTCTAGATGCATCTGTGTGGTGCCTCTTGAAGCTCTGACTCCAGCATCATTCCACATGCAGCATCTAAATGGGTAGAAATAAACACTTGAATTATATTTTGGAATACATTTATGCAGTAAATTAATTTTTAAATTGAGATATTAATGTTAACTTTTGATTGGATTCTAATTTGAGATGTAGCTCTCTATTAAATCCCTCTGGACATAATCAATGTGACCTTTCAGTATTGAAACTCTGATGTCCATAAATGTATTTAGATTTTACATTTCTAATATATATTCATGAACTTTTTACTTTCTGAAGGTTTTTTTATGAAAATTATTTTTAACCGAAATTCTGTGTACAGCAATTTTAGATCAGACTGATAAGTCGATTAGTCATCTTTATGTTAGTAACTGTCATGTCATTTTTAAAAAAGTTCATAACAAATGTGACCTACTTTTTTCAAAAATAAATCTCCCTGCTCGATGATCCCAGTTTTGTGGGGAGCTCCACTGCAGATGTGATTTGGAGATGCACTCTGCGCCTGTTTTGGTTCAACAAAGGATAGAGGAGAGCTGCGAATGACCTCAACTGTTCCAGATGGACAGCTCAGTCGGGAGGAGGCCGTCATAACTGGCTGGGGGTTATTTAGAAAGAAGCGTTTCGCCCCCCATGCGACAAGGAGCATGCAGTCGTTCCATGCCGAGAGAATGTACTATTTGAGCCTTCAAGCTGGGTAGAGATATTACTAACTGCCTTAACCATGGAGGAAAATATGCTGCCATTAACTCCTCTGAAATTACTCTGAGTTGCATAGACAAAGCAAGAAGGGAGTCATTTGTGGCGTGGTAATGTTGGTGGCTTCGGTCTTGGTGGCCTTGTGTGCTTGAAGCATGTTGATTTTGTTTTGATTAAAAACAGCCCGCATGGGAAAATCTTTACTAGTTGTTTCCAGTAGATCTGATCACCCAGAAGATAAACTCAACCAGAACATATTCTAAAACCCATTTAGACCCAGATGATGCAAAAGGTTCAGACATTTTTATATTTGTTCCATTCTACTTAAAAAAGGGACAATTTGCACATTATAGCACCACTGGAGCTAAAAGTAGGAATTTTTAACAATGAGACATACTTAAAAGTCTTATCTATGTACAGTACATGTGTAAATATGCCTTCTGCTGTTTATGCTTACCTAAGGAATTCACATATCAGCATATTTTGGATGCATGCTGTCCACCTGAACAGCACAAATTGTGCAGAGCAATTCACTTATCTGTCTATCTCGCACATTTTGTTGGCCGGCAAAAGTTTTTTTTTTCTTTTGTTTTTTTGCTTTTAGAACAAAAAATAAATAAAATCTCTGCTCCTGCTGCAATGCATTCTTAAATGAATGCACCACTTTTTTTTTTTTTTACCACTAAAGCCTTCGATTCTGTTTGAACTCCAACTCCGAAGCTCCTTACGAAAACTGTTGTGTAACGTCGTCCTTCTGTGAGCTCTGCTGCAGCACTACTGGGGGTGAAGAAGGGAAAAATAATCGGGGAGTCTGAGATGCATAAACATCCTCTGTTGTTTCTGTTTTATTGAGATCCGCTTGATTAACCTGTATGTAGACATTAAGAATGTTTTATATTTTGTAATTGAATCTATGAATGAAGTTTGATCACCTGGATGAGTTTGTCATCATTGTATTCTTGCGCTGGATGCTTTATGAACAAATACTATAAATTAATATTTGGGTCTTGGGGATTTCTAAATGATGCGAATGAAAATCTTTTGATCAGGCTGTCTTTTTTCTTTCCTGCTGCTCTTATTGTTTCCACTGAGCTCCGAAACATCGGGAGAAGATTGGAATGTGAAATATTTTCCAAGCCCAGATGTCTGGATGTTTGTCCATCCAGCCTTCATATCTTTCATCCATCTAACAGTTAGTCCATTAGATTTCTATCATCCATCCATCCTTTATCTGCCAATCCACCTGTTAAACTTTTAATCTGTCTTTCATTTGTCTGTCCATCCATCCGTCACCAATTTGTCAATTAATAATGCGTCGACTTATCTTTTGTCCTTCAGTGAATCTTTTATTCCTTTGTCCACCCATTAGTTTGTCCATTATCCATTAGTCTATTGGATGGATGTCCAAAATGTAATGTAATTTTATTAAATCCCTTTATTGTCCCACAAAGGGGAAATTCACTCTTTGCATTTAACCCATCTGCTCAGGGAGCAGTGGGCTGCCATTGTGTGGCGCCCGGGGAGCAGTGTGGGGTTAAGGGTTTTGCTCAGGTGCCCAGAGTGCAGGATGTGGAGATCAGACCGGGTACTTGCAACTAACCCATAGGCCAACACTCTCCCAAAAATGGATGTAGCCATCCAGCCACTTGCGTTTTGTCCACCATGAGAATTATTTTCTATTGTCCACCCGTCCATCCATGGGTTTTCTTTTGTCTGAAGTACAGAGTAGTATTGTCACATCGCATTGGAACTACGTACATCCAAATCATCTGTACTGTTGTAGCATTTGTCTTGTCTCTAGACACTGCTGTCTCCTCATAGAGTGTGCTGACATCACCAACTCATGCCTGATGTGGATTGATTTATTTTGACTGTGGATTGTAATTTCCTGTTATGTCCACAGTTTTTCCTGCTCGAGGGCTCTCCCTATTTAATAAAATAGCAATATTACCTTTGTTTGGCTTTTGTCTGCTCTTTTTTATTTTTTTTATTTCATCCATTACTTAGTAATCGCCCCCTGAATGTTTTATGTTTACCTAGGAAGTCACATGGAGGTGTTGTCAGTTTGTAGCTGAGTAATCATGGCTTATGACACTAATCTGTTTCTATGTTTCCTCTCTCGTCTCTTGCAGGTGAAAGAGCAAGCAGACAGGCTGCCTCACTCTAAGCTATGGAATGCTTCCTGCTCCCAGCATCTCTAGTCTCCAATCTTTGGACTGAGCTTCTTACACTTAGTTAGCAGCTGTGCTTCTCCCCTCGAACTCTTTCTAAACCAGGGGACAAAAAGAAGAAGCAGGCTTACCAAGTCTTCCACGGAAGACGCCGAGCACCTTTTTCTTTTTTTAAGAATAATTAAAGATTAGTTTACTTTTTCTCCAGCTTGGATTTGTGCTCTGATAACATCCTATCAAGATGGATCTGGAACCGTATCTGTGGATGGTGATTATTGGCTTCATCATCGCCTTCATTCTGGCTTTCTCCGTGGGGGCCAACGATGTGGCCAACTCCTTCGGAACAGCGGTGGGATCTGGTGTGGTCACTCTGAAGCAGGCCTGCATCCTGGCATCCATCTTTGAGACGTTGGGCTCGATGCTGCTCGGCGCCAAAGTGGGTGAGACCATTCGGAAGGGCATCATAGATGTCAACCTCTACAACGAAACGGTGCCCGTCCTCATGGCAGGGGAGGTCAGCGCTATGGTCGGTCAGTACAATGCTTTTATTTTAGCATATATTATTGAGTATAACCATTATTTTTTTTTATTTTTTTTCATTTTCTTTCTAATTTATATGATTTTTATTTTATTAGTGCAAAGTCTCTAATCTCTGCTTCAAATCAAACATAAAGCATTATTGGGTATTATCTTATAGTACTTTAAAAATAAGCTTACATTTAACATAATCTCATAAATGCAAAGTCATTTAGTTGCTTTCTTTATTTCAACACATTAGTTTTACATTAAAATCTATACCCGGAGCAGATGTGCCTTTATGGATATTTTAGTGTTTCGCAAAAAGTCTCCCTGCTGGGTTGATGAACAGTAGTTCCCAAGCTGAGGTATGGAACTCGACTTACAATAACTACAGCAGATACCTGCCGGCATTCCTAGCACAGAATTGCAGGCATTGCTAATAAACCAATTATTTAAGGAGGAAACAAAGAGGGGAAAAATGCACTCTGCAGGCAACATTAGTTTCTATAACTCCTTTGCAAACCAATGTAGAGAACATGGGTTTTTACAAATGCTTTTCTTATTTTTATTCACTATTCAATAATTATAACCTTTCTTTAACATGTAAGTTGTAACTAAGATATTTTTAGCAATCTATTACATTCTCACAAAGAATCAGAATCAGAAATACTTTAAGAATCCCAGAGGGAAATTACTTTTGTTACACGCTCCAGTTACAGTTTTATATATTTATATATATATATATATATACCCACATCCAACTACACAAGATAATAAAGATAAAAATAAAAAAGATAAAATATATACACATATAGCTCTTCTTTATATACCGTATTTTCACGACCATAAGACGCACCGGACTAAAAGGCGCAGTCTCAGTTATGTGTGCCATTTCTGTATTTAACACACACATAAGGCGCACCGGACTATAGGGCGCGTTTTTTATATACAGGTACATGTCCTCTCAGGTGGATTTTCCCTCTTAAAAACATATTAAAACTACTTTATTCCCACTGATCACAGCAAATAAAGCTGCAAGGTGTATTTATTACAAAGTATTATTCAAACCTGGGAACCGGCCGTGAGAGACACATCGCTGATGACACAGGGCTGTGATTACTCCTCTGATACAGTTTATTGACGCATAAATTAACTTAAAACATAGGCAGGATAATAATCTGGATGAACTGACTGCAATGATTAAATTTTCAGGTGGACTTTCTCACTTAAAAAGATTTAGATTATTTAGATGAAAAAACACCTGCGGAGGTGAGCCCGGATGCGCCGCGGCCCAGAGGCTGCTGTTGAATTAAGTTTTCAGGTAGAAAAATAGAGCGGGAGCAAAACTGAGTATGATTGTGCTTTATTCAAGTATTAATCAAACCCATCAAAGTCCTCATCCTCTGTTTCTGAATTAAACAGCTGCGCTAAATCCGACATGCCAGTTTCCCATTCTTCTTCGCTGTCAGAGTCACTTTCCGTGCCGGGCGGCTCCTTGGAAATGATGCCGGCTTTTGCGAAAGCTCGAACAACAGTCCCAGCAGAAACGTTAGTCCAAGCATCTACAATCCATCCGCAAACGGTGGCGTAACTTGCCCGGCGCTGCCTTCCACTTTTAGTGAAACTGTGCTCTCCGTCTGTCATCCATCGCTCCCACGCCGCTCGCAGGCTTACTTTGAACGGCCGGTTCACACCGATGTCGAGCGGTTGAAGTTCCTTTGTCAGACCTCCCGGAATAACAGCAAGCACAGCGTTCATTTCTTTGACCTTTTTTTTCACATCGGCTGTGAGATGGGCACGCATGGAGTCACAAATTAACAGAGATGGTGATGCGTGGAAAAAACCACCTGGTCTCCTTACATACACCTCCCTCAGCCAAGCTTTCATCATCTCCTCGTCCATCCAGCCTTTTTCATTCGCCTTAATAACAACTCCAGCTGGAGTTGAAACGCTGGCCCCACTCGTTCTTTGCTCCACGATCCACCGCTCGAGTCTTTCCTCCAACTCGGGCCACCTCGCCTTATGTCCGCGGAAACTCAGCTGCGTCTTCTTCACCAGTCGGAGTTCGTTTTCCAGCTTCCTCCACTTGCGAACCATCGATTCATTTATATTGAATTCTCTCGCAGCTGCTCGATTTCCATGTTCCTCTGCGTAGCTGATAGCCTTCAGTTTAAACTGGGCTTCATAGGCGTGTCTCTTTGCCATTTCCAGGGTTGTTAAGACAACAATGTTCTGCATAAAGCACATACCTGTTCTTTTATACACAAGCCACGCGCACACTTCCCCCTTTAAGGTTCTCACATACTCGTGGTGGTCTCAACAACGTCCGCAGATAGGGCGCACCGCACCATAGGGCACACCCCACATTTTAAGGGGAAAAAAAGACGTTTAGGTGCGCCTTATAGTCATGAAAATACGGTATATATATATATATATATATATATATATATATATATATATATATATATATATAACAATATTTTTTTCAACATCCTTAATACATACAGGTAGTTTTTTAAGATTATACAAATTAAAATAATTATATTTTACAATAACGAAACATTTATTTATTTCAGCTTTTTTATTTTTGCATATATTTTAATTCCTTTCCGACTATCCAATTAATAAAATAATAATTTAACTTTATTGATCTCACATTGGAGAAATTTATCTCTACATTTAAGCATCCCCTTGGGGAGCAGTGGGCTGCCATTGTGCCACACCCGGGGAGCAATCAGGGGTTAAGGGTTTTGCTCGGGAACCCAAAGTGGAGGCTGTGGGGATCTAATGAGGAACTTGCAACCTTCTCAGAGCACAAGAGCGCTTCTCTAACGCACTAGGCCAATGCTCCCCTAGTTAAACACTGCTTATCACTAAAACCCACACCAACACAAGCAGACTTATTGATTGGCACAAACCCATACAGTCAAAAATGACATATCAGTGTCACAGACAGCCTTAACTATACTCTAAGACAATCAGGAGATGGTATATAGTCCATATTATGGCATTCTCGTCCTGATAGTATGACAGCAGGGATGAATTTCAATCAGATCACTTTTTCATGCATGTTGGGCAAAGCCTCAGATCATCACCTAATGGCTTTTTCACATCATGCTTTGATTTATTAAATTTAAGTTAAATGAAAGCACTCATATCGATGTTTTAAGGCCCTAACTTAAACTTACTGCTTTGAGGCATTATGGAAAAAATAAAAAGTCATCAGCCAAGATATCAGAAAGGAAACAGTGGATCACCTAGGTTCTGGTTCATCCTCGGGTAAAAAAGATGCCATAAGATACCATGTTCATCTATTTATTTGTATTCAAGCTCAAACACTGAGGATATGTCCAGCCTTTACACATCCTGGGATGAACATGAGTCTCTTACTCAAAGGACACCCTTTTTTGGGGGACATATGTTTCTAACAACAGGAAGTTGGAGAGTTTGGCTGAAGTGAAAGTCTGTATATTTGGAGGGAAATGGGTGTAAGGCTTGTAAGCAGAAATACGTCATCCCAGCTGTAAAGTACGGTAATGGCAGCATCATGGTATTGGGGGGGTCTTGCTAGATGGCAGGTGCATTTAAATAAATATATATTAACATATCATTATTATATAATTAGCAAAGAGGGTTTTAAGAGGTTAGATAGATGCTAAACATCCTCTTTATTAATTTTGACATTTAGCAAAAATAAATATATTTTTTTTAACTTTGAGCAGAAAACGCTTAAAAAGGGTTGATTTAATAATAAGTTTATAAGTGTAAAAAAAGTCTGTCGGCGTTGAATATGAAGCATTTGCTGCAGAATAGTTTTTAGATATTTATAAAAGCTTTCAACATCTTAATTTGATGAGGCAATAGAATTGGAAACTCCTCGATGCATAACTGGTTTCAATGCCTCACTAAAAGCAACAGACACGACCCTGTGTAGTATTTGCCGCCATTGTTTTAGCCTCTGAAAGATAGGGCGGTTTTAGCATTGTAAGTATATAAGTAAGTATAAGTATAATAAAAATTAGCTCAAGTTGTGGGAAATGGAATTTTTTACAGTTAGAATTGTTGAAAAAAAATCCAGTTGAATTTAATTTTGTTTATATTGAACAACCTTATAACTCAAGACATGCAGGAACACAAACTATCCTCTATTAGTTTAACTATTGGTTTGTGGTTCAGAAAATAATTTGTGTATAAACGGTTGAAAGTTCTCATATTCGTTTCTGTTTGGCTCACAGGATCCGCTGTCTGGCAGCTCATTGCCTCCTTCCTCAAACTGCCCATCTCTGGGACTCACTGCATCGTTGGAGCCACCATTGGCTTCTCCATGGTGGCCATCGGCACAAAGGGTGTTCAGTGGATGCAGCTTGTCAAAATTGGTAAAAATATCACTACAGAAATCTGTCAATTGGGTTTTAGTTGGTAATCCATCAAAGAAGACATTACAAAAACATTACAACTGCTCCTCTCTTTAAGTAATAATCTTTTCTTCTCCACCAGTGGCTTCTTGGTTCATCTCACCCTTGCTCTCTGGACTCATGTCTGGACTCCTCTTCTTGCTCATCAGGTACTTCATCCTCAACAAGGTGAGCTTTTGGTTCACAGTACTTTTCATGCCTATTGTCATTTCTGCCTCAAAGGTTAGTTTTACCTCATAAAATCTTTTTGATTGAAGAAGTCAGTGTTTTAGCTTTTCTTTAAATGACTGTTGGATTACATACATGTACAACAGCCTTCTCAGGGGGAGCCAGTTCAAACATTGCAACTCAAGTTCTGGTTTACGTGTACTGAAAACTTGGGCACTGATAAACCAGTTTTGATTTGGCAACACATGCAAATCGGATGTTACGTAACTGGTGATAACAGGCTGGCCAGCAGGACAAAAAGTGTTGCAGATCATTTTAAGGTCACTATTGCAGACCTGTATGACAAGGAGTCACATGATCGTTTATGAGGTCAGCCGGAGTCACTGCATAGATGAGACAAACTTCTTTCTCTACGCCTTGTAGTCACAGATGCCATACCTTAAAAATGACATGAGCTGAGCTAGATTTATTTATTTTAGAATTTATTATTTTATAGAGCTGATGCCCTGCTAGTTTGTAGGCTTGCAAATAAAATTTAGGAACACTATTTCAGCAAGTAAGGTTAGTCTTCATCAGAGTAGATACAGTTAATGGTGAGAAAGACTAAAAAATGCAAAATATACACAAGCATTGGGCAAAAATAAGTCACATGAGTTATGAGTAGGCATAAAGTTTTCAGCTCAAAGTTGCAACCATTGAGCTCTGTCTTAAAAAGCATGAATAAGTTGTTCCTTACTAAACCAGGTGTTGGTTTTAGCAAGGAACAACTTAATTTCAACACGGCTCCTGCACTTCATAGGAATTACAGCATTAATAATTATGGGCAGAATGGTTAGAATTGGTTAGAATCCTAAGAATTGTCAATTGTTCGTCCCTGAGCAAGACCCTTGGCCCAAAAATACCTTAGATTCTGCACTGATCGCAGCTCCCTAAGGGATGGGTTAAACACAGACAAATCTTGTTGTAATGCACCAAGCTGCAATGCCAAAGATGATTAGTAGAAGCAGTGGTAGTTGCTGCAGGGGTTGTAGGCAGGGGCGGATCTAGAAAAATATTTATGGGGTGGCAAGAGGGGGGCAGGAATTTTTTAGGGGTGGCAACATATGGCATTTGTTTACACTGAATTTATTCACAGTTATCACAGTTTGGTGAGAATAGTATGTAGAGTAAGTGTTTCATGTGAAACAGTTCATATTAGAAATACATCGTACAATGAGATCTCACTTAATAGGAGATAGAAGAATGATAACACTACTTCTAGAGGGGCATTATCACAGGAAAGGTATTAAGGTAAGACACAGGTGCTGAGTCGCAGATGTGACAGATTGACTGTCAGAGAGGCAGCTTTGCAGCATTTGCACAAGAAGAAACTATAGAAAGAAAAAGTTCCCCATCAGAGATCTATGGACTGAGCTGTACTAAAGTCAGCATAACTACACAGTAGAAATAAATGGGTCAAGGCACCCGCACAAGGTACCAGACATCCATGTAATGTTTACTCTGAACACACATTTACCCCATTTGTTTCTCAGTAACTTGACATACAGCAGTTAAGGCAACATGAAAGGGACATTTCATGCATGTAGATCTGCTGTAGATAGAGCTGTATATGGAGGACCAACTCTGCCATATTTAAAAATAAATACAGAAATAAATAAATGCTCAATAAATAAATAAACATACAATTAATTGCCACCAAAAGTACAACCAACAAATAAATGTAATTAGAAATTATATTATAATGGCAGGCAGAAATGTTAAAAGGGCAGGCAGAAAGAAATAGCGGCGAAGAAATAACTAGGGTAAAAAAATATCAAGGAAGAATAAAACAGACAAAAATATGATAACATGCACATAAATAAATACTTAAAAATATAAGTAATTAAAAAATGAAGTTGAAGATAATAAATGACAAAAAAAAATAAATAAGGTAAATTTTAAAAAGGCAAAGAAATAAAGAAGCCAATTAAAAGTTATTAAGAGTTATATACCTTTATGACTAGCTGTATAGTTTAATTTCTACTTACATTTGTTTGTTGTTTGTATTTTTGGTGGCAATTAATTGTATGCTTATTTATTAAGCATTTATTTATTTATGTATTTATTTTTAATATGGCAGAGTTGGTCCTCCATACTGCTGTATCAACAAATCAACAAAAAGGCGGGTTCTGTATGTTACATCAAAATCTCCACAAATCTGAAAAGAAGCAACATAAAAATACATTTAGCTTGTGAGTAGGTTCATACAGGTCATTTCTGGATAGTTTCATATTATATATACAAAAAAAGAAACAACAACACTGCTTCATATTAAGCAGGATTTACACCAGTATCACATTTTTAACTTTTAACACTTTTGGTTTTATTAAATTAAATATCAGATTTTCTCAGGTGCCAAAACAAAATGTAACATCTCTGTAAAGGCTCACCAGAGAGCATAACATAAAGTTAACATGACTATAACAGCTGAATGCAGTGATTTCCATGTTGCTCAGCAAAACGCTTCACAACTTTATTTAGATCCAATGCCTTTGTGCGTTTTGATTTGAGTGCAACCAAACTATATAGTCTCTTTTCTGTCATAGTTGACCGCAAATATGTCTTTATGAGCCTGAGACGTCAGGCCTAACTAACATCATAGATAGAGAAATAACGTTCTGCAACCTGATTTTTATCATCTGTAAATCAGCATTGCAGCTATGCTAGCAACATTGTACTTTCATTATGATTTAATTTCTCGATAGATAGTTAATCAGTTTTTACCTGTTTCATCCCGTGTCTCCTCTCCCCATCACCCCTGGCTCCCTCGCTTTGCCCCGCTCGGTTTTCAAAACAAATCAGTCTCAGTCGCTCTCGCGTCATCTCGTGCTGCATCCACTGCAGTCCGACATTGGAAATTAGCGGTCGCAATTCTCAAATGATCCATAATTTATAAGCCTCGCCACCCCTACCGGCAACTGGGGTGGCAGCTGGGGTGGCAAGGCTGTCATTTAGGGTGGCAGTTGCCACCCTATGCCACCCCAGTAGATCCGCCTATGGTTGTAGGAGTGTAATGGTACCCTTCTACATACCAAAAATATGTGGTTCAGCTCTGTTGGTTCAGTATGTAGATGTACCAAACAAATACAGCGTTGTTTATACCTGAATGTTTGCAGGTTGTTTATGAGCAGAACTAAGTGTGCAGTGCAATTTATTGTTGTACAGAAGTGGAGAATGGAAGGTGGTCCAAATGTCACCCAGCTCATGGCAACCACAAAATAAGCTCCCAAACATGGGCAGTGTTTCATTAGAAAAACTTCAGGCATACCCTGCTATTGATTATGCCCACTGATATCTCTTGTTTTTTTCATTGAATAAATTTTAACCAAATTTACTGTCTGTTCTGTATTTTCACTTAAGGTTTAGAAAAAAATAAAATAACTGAAAATATAAGATATAAAGAAATAATTTTACTGAAACTGTACTAATTTTGGGTTTTGAACCCAAATATGTATTTATGTTGATTTGTATGTACCATTTCACCTGTAAATAAATCTTTCACATAGTAGGTAAGAGCTGTTACTTTAAAAAAATGTTAGAAATATAGATCTCATTAATGAAAGAGTAAACCAAAATTTCACATATCACATTTTATGCTTGGTTGATGAAGATGCCATTGCCTGTATTTAAATTGTAAACCACATTAACCAGCATGTCAACATATAAACTGATTATAATTCAATCCAATAAAGCAGTACAGTCAGGTTCTGCACTTTGCAGCAATCCCTTCTCCTAGTTTATTACTTGTAGAAACCATTTATTTGCCTCCATCTGAGTCAATAGTTGAGCAAGCAAAGCTTTTCTTTGGAGGCCGTGTTGGTTCACGTATAGGGTATTTACTGCATGTCCTCTGCCTTTCTCAAAGCACTTCTTTCCGGCTAAACTGGTTTTATAATTTCAGGTAGGGCTGGGCAATATGGCTTAAACATCTAATCTCTGATTCTTTTTTCTCTCAAATCAAAATAATGTTTTTTTAATGTATTTTTTCACTTAAGTTTCATAATAAAATGACAAATGACATATTGCTTGCAAAAGCTAGCTATTTTCAATCATCCCCTCTGGGAGGTGACTGTAATTTAAAGCCATTCAAAACTTCGCCACTCTCCTTGATGGGCCCTTGGCTGGTCTGTGGCTGGTCCCCTTCCTTTCTAAACATCATTTCTTTGTACAAAATATTATTTATGTCATGATTTTTGTACATTAAGATCTAAAGAGAAGCTTTATCTCCTGGTTACACCCTATAGTTCAGTGAAAGGGTGGATTCAGAGTAAACAAAAATAGCATGAACAGGAGAAGGCCAGTGGCTGGAAGTTGGAGGGGATTTTGCTGGGAGCTGCAGGGAAGCGGGCTGCCATTCGGCTGGCATTTGACTGGGAGGGGCTCCTTTGAATGGCTGCTTCTTTAAAATAATAGTGTTTTGCAATAAAAGAAAATACAACAAATTAAATGTTTGTAGCTAGTGGTTTGACACGCTGCAGTAGGTTATCAGTTATAGGTACGCATCTGAGACCAGAAAGTAATGAACTGATGTCACTCTGGGCTATGGACACCCAAGGAGTGGGTTAGTTTAAAAGATCTATATTTCCCAAAATGTAAATCTTCAAAAACAAAAATGTATCTATCGATCAATCGCCAAGCCCTAATTTTAAGGAATCTCAAGAATAAAACTAAACAGCACAGTTTCAGATTAAGGGATTTCATCTGGTGAAATTATTTTTTTTTTTCCGTTTATATAAAATATATTTAGGGTTTCTAAGATGGAGTGAAACTAAAATGACAAGTAATGTTTGAGAAACTTATCCTGTCCTTGCTTTTTAGGAGGATTCAGTCCCAAATGGTCTGCGGGCGCTGCCTCTCTTCTATGCCACCACCATTGGGATTAACACTTTCTCTATCATGTACACTGGAGCCCCATGTGAGTACTAGAGAACAGTTTTTCCTATCTGAGATAATATTTTAATTCAGGGTGAAAAAGGCCAGAAAAAACAGTTGCTGCTCTACTTGCAAGATAAATGAATACTTTTTCTTGAACCTGTGTTTTATAATAATAATGATAATGATGACGTGCAGTGCTCGGATTGGAAATGCTGCCGGTTTGGGCCATCTTCCTCATCACGTTAGCCGGCTCGCTGGTCTGTGCCGCACTGGTCTGGATATTTGTCTGTCCTTGGCTAAAAAGAAAGATAGCAAGTGAGTATCTGCATGTTTTTTTTATGTCTGTGCTTCCAGCGGTTTTCAGCATCTGATTAACATCTGGAGATTTCTCAATCTGCTTCAGTAAAGTATGATGCTAAATAAAATAGATCAGCTCCTCTATGGTTAGAGTCACTGAAACCAGCAAAGCACGGTTTGGTGCGTCTTATTTCCCCTAAGGAGCATATTTTCTTTGTCTATAGCTACTGGGCCAGATGAAAAAGGGCTGGATCAATGCTTGCAGTGTAGAAAGCTTTTTAGATCAAAGCACGTAATTGTTTGTCATAATGGGAGAAGCAGCCCACAGCATGGCAGACGATAATAAAAGTCTGAAAAAGAAAAAAAAAAAAAACTAAAATAGGGGAAGGAATATAACAAAGTCTGAGTAAGAGGAGAGAAGCTGGCTGCTAATTTTCTCCAAGTGTTAAATAAATTAGAAAATCCTGGTTAAATGGTCATCCCAGGAAATTTTTTACTCTTTAACATTAGGAATTAGCTTTTAAAAGGATGAGATGTAAAGACTCAACTTAGCTTGTAAAAAATAAATGTTTTAACTGAAGTCAGTTCTCTGAATCCTTTAGCTCTGCACCGGTTTGGGGCTGAGTTAACCTGTTGCTTACAATGTCATGACCTCTAGATGCCATTCAGGATTACAGTCCATAGTTAGCCTAAGCTGGTTGTTTCTGTAAAATGAAACGATTGAAAGGGTCTGTGTACTTGGAGTACATGAGCACGTCATCAGGGGTATGAGCACTGGGTTTAGTTGGGATCAGCTGATCGATGTGTGTGATTAGGACAATGTTCCAGCAGGGTTCTACTCCGTTGTTATTATTAAGTGCTAAAGTGTATAGGTGTTTTTGTTTTAATAATTTAGCTTTATTTTTCTTTATTATAATTTATTCCTGTTCCCCTTTTTCCTCTTGTGATAACCAAAAAAATGTTTTTGCAGTGCACTTGTTAAAAAAAAAAAAAACACCTAAAAACTGTTACTAAAGTTTCTGTTTTGGGGATATTCTATGTTTATTATTTAGTTTGGATAAAAAAGTTGGATCAAATCAAAGCCGTATTTCAACACCTGACAGAAGAGAGGCTGATCCAATATTCAATATTGAAATGTTTTATATATGACGTTTTCTGGTTTGTCTGGTATCCCTTATTGATCTTTGTGCGTATTTAAAACATAACATTATCTCTCTCAGTACCTCATTTCTACAAAAAAAAAAATAATCAATTAAACATTGAACTATGTGAAATGTTTTGTCTTGCTCAGCTTCTGATCGTTGCCTGATTTTCTTTAGGTCGCTTAAAGAAGGAGCAAGCTCTGTCCAGGATATCCGATGAAAGCCTTGATAAGATTCCCGAGGAGGAAGAAGAAAGCCCTGTCTTCAAAGAGCTGCCCGGAGCAAAAGGCACAGACGAGGCCGTGGTGCCGCTCACTGGAGGCAGCAGTGACAGGAGCACCAGAGACTCCAGCGGAGAGCTCGCCAACTCTGCAAATGGAGGCAGTATCCTGCCAAACGGCAGGGTGTACGGTAAGAATTTGTTTCTCTGGAAACCGTTTTTTTGAGCTGCATGACTTAACTTGGACACAAATGAGGACAAACATTCATTAACAAAATTCCTTGCAAAACTATTCGCACCCCTTTGACTTTGTCGCACTTAAAGCACAAGCCTCTGTGTAGTTTAAAATGATAATATGTGATAGACCAACACTTGTTAGCATATTACTGTTTTCACACATTGCAAAGTCAGTGGCCTTTGGAAGTCACCAAAATCATGAGTCCAGCCTTCAAAGATGATGGAGGTCCAACTTCCACAAGGATTTAAACCTAAACTTACAGTCGTTGCTACGATGGAAATGTATTTATTGTGGGAGACTTGCCTGGTCAATGTATAAATCTAAACGTATGGGTCTTAGCATGTATTAAAACATTGAGGCATTGATAGAAAGGAAGAAAAATCTAACAGACTTGCCTGTTGACAAGTTTTTAAGGTGTTCTCACTACCATCCTCCTTCTTTCCACCCTTAAGGTCGAACTCACTCCATGACCAACGGCTGCCTCAAATCACCTGTCGCTAACGGCAGCTTCACCTTCGATGGCCACATGCGCAGCGATGGCCAAGTGTACCACACGGTCCACAAAGACTCCGGCCTCTACAAAGACCTGCTTCACAAGATCCACCTGGGCCGCATGGATGACGGCGAACGCTCGGGTGCTCAACAAGCTGACAACAATTACCGTCTGCTGCGCCGCAACAACAGCTACACCTGCTACACAGCAGCGATATGCGGCATGCCCGTCCAGCCGGTCAGGCGCTCCGAGTCCCGTGATGACAGCGAGAAGCTTGTGGGTGAGGCTGGCGGCAGGAGCAACAGCGTGTCCTACTCAAAGAAGCGGATACGCTACGACAGCTACTCGTCGTACTGCAACGCCGTGGCCGAGGCGGAGATCGAAGCAGAGGAGGGAGGGGTGGAGCTAAAGCTGGGTGCAGAGCTGGAGGGGGTGGAGGAAGAAGGAGGTCAGGCCCCGGTGCCGATCGATGACTTGGCAGAAGAAGAGAATGAGGAGAAAGACAAGTCGGAGGTGTTTCTGCTTTTCCACTTCCTGCAGATCCTTACCGCCTGCTTCGGGTCTTTCGCCCATGGAGGCAACGATGTCAGGTGAGTAGTTTCATTCACACAGGGTGACGCATTCAATCGAAGGTACTTACATAGCGGAGGAATTTCCATTTCTGCTTATGTTCTCATATTTGCAGTAATGCCATTGGGCCCCTGGTGGCGCTGTGGATGATTTATGACCAGGGAGGCGTCATGCAGGATGCTGCCACTCCAATCTGGCTGCTCTTTTATGGCGGTGTGGGCATCTGTGCTGGCCTGTGGGTGTGGGGACGGCGTGTCATCCAGACCATGGGGAAGGACCTGACTCCCATCACCCCGTCAAGGTGAGAGAGACTCCTCACAGGAGTGAGTGGGTGGCTGGGTGGGAACCTGTGGTGAAGGCTGATTTACTGTCCTGAATGGGTTGGTTTGACCCAAGCAGGCCCACAAAAAAATGGGTTCATCCAATGGACTCTCATGATTAAACACACAAAGCTTTATTGCAGCCAACACACAAGGTCATTATATATGTAGGCTAGTTAATAATCCACAACAGGCAGACAGGAAAACCTATAAACACAATGAAACAGTCACTTCCATTGTGCAGGTGTAGTTACCACATGAGGCTCATTACCTTTTAACTGAGCTGGTGCCAGTTCACAAATGATTTATGGGATCAGCATTATTCAGATAGATCTGATTTAGTTTATCTACATGCTTTGATTAATTTTCAAACCATGACTTTTTTTATTTCCTTTGAACTCCAAAAGTGGTCTTCACCTTTAAATCCAGGCATTTTTAACATCTTGTATATTCTTCCAACCCAAAGTCAGCTGCTGATTGTTGTTTTTTCCAACAGGTTGTCCAGCATGACAGCTTTATGTCTCTTACAATATCTGACTGAATGCTCTTAATAACGAAAAGTGTTGTTCTAATTTTATTTTTTTTTGAGCTTTGCATTTTGCTTTTGAACTCTGCTCCGATCCTGAGGCTTGTTTGGCTTGTTGATTATTTCACCTGTTATGATTCAATGTTCTTCTTGTTAATCGTGTGAATGAAAATATTCGTTTTTCTGTATGATATTGGAGCAGCAAAAAAACATACCTGCAAAGTCTTCTTTCTATTTTTAGCTGCCATTGGGTTGATCATTAAATCAGAATCTGTGCCAACTATTGGCTCCAGGAATTAGTCAGGTCCTCGGTTGCTGGTGGTTGATATTCCTTCAAGCTTATGCTTTTGAATTGGAATACATATCACCAATCCATATGTGTTTTTAAGAAGAAAGGAAATTAAACAGGTGAGAGGAAAAAAAATATCTAATTGTTAAATGAGGCGGATCTTTAAGAAAAGTCCTCAAAACCCAAGGCAGTCATTCCCACGTTATTTACATGAGTTTTCAGTTAATATAGGTTTAGGAATCACCTTATTTGGGCTAAAATAAACCTAAAACAACCTAATTAAGTATTAATAAATACCACTTCAAAATGTGAGGGTCTACAGCCCTTTAAGCAAAGGATAAAGAAACAGGCAGTGACCAAAAACATATAATCTGTAGAGGATATAGTTATTATTACTTGTGGCTGATGTGTACTTTAAGTTTATTTTGCATTTTACATTTTAAATGTAAACTCGAGTCGAATCAAATTAGGGCAACAGTTAAAATTAATCTAAGAAAATCACTTAAAATTGCCTGATGACATCATGAAATCTAAAAAGCCTGTGATTAATGAGATCATTGACATTTAATTCGATTAAAATCTTTAAAACTGTGTAAGAGCTTTAATGAAGAGGAACAAATTGCTTTGATCCGAAAATATTTCTGATTAATCCAGAACTAGAATCCATGACATGGATTAGATGTTAAACCAAGGCTTTATTAGCTAAATGATTGTTTAACAATCTGCAGAATCCCCCAAAACATGATCAAAAATACACATTTCTAAGCAGTACAGTTGATTTTCTGTTATTATTTGACCTGTTACATAATATATGAGTAACTGGGTTGTTTTTGTAGACTACAGCAAATGAACCCCCGCAGCGTGTCCACCAACATACGCAGCAGCGGTCAGGACGCATCGTTAACTGCTCCCTGCTCTACACTTGTCTTTGCTTCCATCTCTCTCTTGCTGTCTTCTAGTCTTCCCACACATGATCTAAACTATGTGTGCAAATGAACCTCTGCAATGTCTGCCTTTTACAAAGCATTGCCCTTTGCCTGCAGGTCGCATGCAGTGTGTTGACTGTACTGTCTGTGTGCTGGTATGCATGCATGCTTATTAGGGACTAATTGTTCTCTGTGTGTGTGTGTGTGTGTGTGAGAGTTGTTTTTGCCTGGCAGGAGCATCATACAGGGTTACAGGAAGTTGTTTGGCATTCCGGATGAAGTGGAGTAGGATGAGGGAGTGAGGGAACAAACCACAGTGGGAACTTCTCTGCTCAAACCACAGGGAGGGACGGCAGCCTGGCGGCGACTCTTGCACGCCCCCTTTCTTTTTTCTCCCCCCCCTCTCTCTTTGTCTCTTCTCATTTCTCCTTTCAGTAAATATCTGCTGATCTCCTCATCTTCAGTTTCTTTTCTCCTCACTTCTTTGGTTGTTTTCTTCACCTTTTCTCTTTTAAATCTGTCTTCCTTTTCCCTAAGGTCTCTCAGTCCTTCCCACGCTCACGCCATCTCATTATTTTCCCTCTTTCTTTATTTCACTACCTTTTTTATTTGCTCCTTTCTCTTTGTGTGTGTCCCCTTTTTTCTTCTACTTAATCTCTCTCCTTCCATCCCACACTGACTGGGCTGCCAGGTTCCTAAGACAAATTTGCTCTGGTTCACAGTTCAAAAGCCTCGCTTTTCTCCAGAGTCCGTTTTCATGAATCAGCCTGACAAAGAAATTTGTTTTGGGGCAAGAACAGAACGTTTTGTATTTGTGTAGTCTGCAGTACATGCAAGGGAATATATTTAAGACGTCTGACTAATCCCCTGCACAGTGAGGTGTTTTCAAACTTTAAGTATGGATTTTCATCGTTTCCATGAAGCCTCAGTCTGATCACTGAACAGTTAGCTGGTTAGAAGCAGTCAGAGCTTCCTTCCAGAGCTGCGTGACAGGGCAGCCTTAGGTTACAGAATTGCAACTACCAATCTGAGTAATTAAACTTAGTTTAGACTACTCTCAATAAGGCTACTAAAAGAAGAGTTTTAGCTATGTGAAATTTACCCAATGCATGGAAACGTGCTTTGATCCCCCTCTAGCTTTCCTCTGCCAGTCACACCAAGCTTAGTGTAACAGGGAAGCTTTATTTGGGACTTACGCTGCATATATCATAAGTTTTTTTTTCTGGCATCTGTGTTAGAAATTAACAATATAAAAGGAAAAATGCAAAAGTATGTCATGTATATTGTGTTTTATTATTATTATTATTTTTTAAAGAATTTGAAATCCCAATGTTTCTCCCGTAACATTGCAGTTTCCATTGAATCAGAGACTGTGCTGCTGCAGCTCTCAGTCCAGACCTCTGCATCCTGAAATCATACAATCTGTAGAGAGAAACTCAGGTGGTTAAATTTTCCGACTTTAAAAAACAAAGTGCAGAGCTTATGAAACAGAGATATAATTGATAATGATAATTGAACTTTATTGATCTCACATTGGTGAAACTTGCCTCTGCATTTAACCTATCCCCTTGGAGAGCAGTGGGCTGCCTTTGTAGGGCGCTCGGGGAGCAATGGAGGGTTAAAAGTCCATCACAGAGACCCGGAGTGGCAGTCTGTGGGAGTGGGGCTCACATTCAGAACCTTAGGATTCCAAGCTCTATACCCTAACCACTAGGCCGCCCCTCCCCTAACCTTTCCAAGTTAAGCAGTAACCAGTTTCTAACTTCAATATACTCTAAATACTCTATTGGACACTATAACCCTATTGAAGTTTGATTTTTTTTTTATTTAGTTTCACTTTATGCCTTGTTGATTTGCTAAAAAACAACAAGAGAATAGGGATCATATTTACTATTGCAGATAAAACAATGATTAACAACCACATTTCCACATTTCTTCTAAATTTTTCTACAATTTATGAACTTTTTCAACTCATAGGAGCTTACAAAAAACCTCGTCTCTCTTGGATTCTGATAGGTTTGGTTTACATTTTGTTCATAACAATGTCTCACTTAATGGAACTGCAACAAGATTCCAATTTTTTGTTTTAAACCACCATCCAGGGGATTTAGGTTTATATCTGGACTAAAATCAGAAACCCAATTTGCTTTTGAGAGATAAAATATTACCCCGAAGTGGTTGCCATTTAGAATAACTGGAGTCATGTTTAAGATTGGCTCTGGTAAAATGTTTGGAGCCCTCCTAAGACACAGAACGGCCGGGCTCTTTGTGAGCAGCCTCTGAGATGACATTTTAAGGATTAAATATCTGCAGTCTAATGAAATCCACTCAGAACTTTGTCTCTGCGTTGCTGCTTTTCATTTTTGAAAAATAAATAGTAGTATTAGTACAGAGGAATGTTCCAGTTTCATGCTGCTTCCTCTCTGATTGTTTTTTACTCTGAACATTTTTATTCTGCTGTTTCCTTTCACATGCATATATAGTGTGTGTGTTTTCTGTCATGCATTAATGATTTTCTATTGTAGTGTGTCCGCCGGCCTGAAGCCAAAGCTCCCTGGAAACGGGGAGTGATTTTTGGAGAAAGTCCTCTTGTAAGCATTAGGCCCTACAGAGTCTTACCAGTCTGTTTCACATGCCACAATATCTGAGTTTACCTGCAAACGTTCAGGACCTCACAGAAGTGCTGTATTCTTTGTGTGTGGCTGTCTAATGACGGGCTTGGGTAATTACAGATTGATTCTAACTGTTTGGCTATGTGATGTTTAAACATGTAAGAACTGTTGAAATGTGATGTTGATGCTGGTGAGGCTGTGCCTCCAGCAACTCCGTCCCAGACATCACAGTGAAGAATGTCTCCCCTCCCTCCTTCCACAGTGGGTTCACTATTGAACTGGCCTCTGCACTCACAGTCGTGTTGGCTTCAAATATCGGAATCCCTGTCAGTACCACACACTGCAAGGTATGACCGAGTGGCCCCCTCCCATTCAGACTGACCTCTCTACTCCCCTACAGGTACCCCCAGGTGAGAGGGGAGCTGACACCTTGTCTCAGGGAACACACTCTGTCACTAAAGACTGCCCAAAATAAGAACTTTAACTTTTCTATTTTTTTTTGTATTTAATTTAGAAAATTTTGGATTAAATCCTTTTTTTTTAAAGTAGCTTTGACAATCATTTTTGTATTTTACAAGATTTTTACTAAAAATGAATTGATGAGATCTCCAAGGATATAAAGACAGTAACCATATCAGGCAGAAATTAAACATGAAGTCGTTTAAATCAGCTGATTGAATATCACTTAACTAATCTGGGTTACCTTAAAAAAAACACAGTCAGACTTTCTGGATTAAATGTTTTAATGTTTAGGTTCTTGCTTGACTGTGTATAAAAGGAGTTGAAAAATTACTATTGGGGTTGAGGTTGGAAACACTCAAAAGGCCAATTTTGGCCAATAAAGTATGGCTGGCTTGTAATAGAAGGGTTTAAGGGCTGCAGATTAAATGAAGGGATTAGAGCTGTATTAAACACTCTTTACTTTTAAGCCATTATTTAAATTTCAATAATAAGAAACTTATTTTAAAAAAGTTTCTTCTGACAGACAGCTGTTGTTATGCCAATAAAACA